CCCAGGCATCGCCGGGTCCCCAAGCTAGTTAGTGATAAAAGCAACAAGAGGCAACTACTTTTACCATGCCATGGCCATGACTTACTGGACTGAAGTTTGGACCGGCTGCTGAACCTCCTTCACCAAGAAATTTTTTTTGGGGGGGGGGGGTCGTATCAGGAGCAACTTAAGAAATTGCAAGTCGCTTCTGATGTGAGAGAATTGGCCACCTGCAAGGATGTTGCCCAAGGGACGTTGCCTGGATGTTTTGATGTTTTACCATCATTTGAGGGAGGCTTCTCTCATGTCCCCTTTGCATGGGGAGCTGGAGCTGAGAGAGGGAGCTCATCTATGCTCTCCCTGGATTCGAACCTCCGACCTGTCGGTCTTCAGTCCTGCCGGCACAAGGGTTCAACCCATTGCGCCACCGGGGACTCCAAGGAAGATGTGTTCACATTATCAAAGGTAAACTTTCTTTTCCTCTTGGGGGAATTTCAGAAGCAGCCCTTACTTTGCCCTCACTTGGTAAACATCGTAAAAGCACAAATAAGGTAGGCGGCCATCCGCACAAAACCTTTCCTTCCTCTGCTTTCACACTGTACTCAACACAACCTCTTGTACCTTTCTGTAGCACCAGAAAAACAAAACAAAAGCCTTTGCTCGTCGTTCAGTGATAAGCGAGTTCAGCCACGCTAAACAGCACTTCTTCTTCACTGCTCACTGACTGACTCCCAGGGCTCTTGCAAAACAAAACCAAACATGGGGAGGAAGAGCCTGGGGATTTGCTGGGTTTTCCTCAAGGGAAGGATGCAAGATGAAGCAGTGGATTTACCTTCCCCTACACTTTGAGACAGCCTCCAGCGAAACAGGGAGGGAAATACAATAGAATTAGAAAACAAGTTTGATGCTAGTAATGGTCTTATACTCAGCTGCTCAAACAGAATGGCAGCAAAAGAGCCACTGCCCCATCTGCTACAGAAAAAGGATTTACGCAATGGAAGACTTCTATTTACTGACAGAAGCTCATTTACCAAGACACCACTGTTTAAAAAAGAATGGAAGCCTCATAATAACGATGAAAACGCCCAGAATGCAACCCTTGATCCCATCCAAGACAGAGTGTTGCAACACCAAGCTCATGCAATGCTGCCAAGGTAAACAAGAGGTGCTGCAAGGAGGCAGGAATGCAATCGGCACCTGTGGCGCTTCTGCCTTCCCGATATCCAGAGATTCCTCCAAATGAATGCCTGAGCTAAAAGAAGAGTCCCAGTTCCAGTACAACTGCTTGCACATCACCACTGCCCCAAACGTCATCAAACCATGGTAGGCTGTTGCCCCGCTGGCTGCGCTCTGCCCCACGTCTCCCTCCTTCCGCAGTCAGGCGGACATTCTTGTACCTCCGCTCTTGGGGGCAGCCCTCGGCTCCACCTGGAGACAGGCTGCGTCAGCACTCAGCCCAGGTTAACCCCATCTCTGCTGAAAGAAATCCACCTGGCTGTGCAAAGGCAGGCACAGGACCCGCACCAAAAGACTTCTCTCAGCGCTTGCAAAAGGTGTGGGGTGGCTCCATAATGTCCACAAAGATACCCATATTTTTCACTTCGTTACAAGAAACAAAACCATTTCTTTCAAAGGTCTGAAAAAATTCTCCAAGGCATACCATATATACTCGAGTATAAGCCGACCAGAATAGAAGCTGAGGCACCTAATTTTATCACCAAAAATTGGGGAAACACATTGATTCGAGTATAAGCAGAAGGTGGGAAATGCAGCAGTGACTTGGAAATAAAAATAGATACCAATAAAATGACATTAATTGAGGCATCAGGAGGTTAAATGTTTTGGAATCTACATAAATAAAAATGTAATGTTTGTTTGTGGGATTAACATAACTCAAAAACCACTGGACGAATTGACACCAAATTTGGACACAAGACACCTATCAGGCTACCTAGTGACCGTCACTCATAAAAACACTGAAAAACACAGCAGAAGGGACTTAAAAAGTAAGCCCCCAAAATACATTACAATGCATGCGAAAAACCACATATATACACAAACACACACATATACACACATATATGCCTATACACACACAAAACACATACACAGAAAGGGGGAAGGAAGGAAAGAGAGGAGGGAGAGAAGGAGACAAAGAAGGAGGGAATGAGTGAAAGAAGGAAAAAAAGAATGGTAGAGAAGGAAGGAAAGAGAGAAGGAGGGAGAGAAAGAGGGAAAGAAGGGAAAGAAGGAGAGAAAGAAGGAAAGAAAGAAGGGTAGAGAAGGAAGGAAGGAGAGAAGGAGGGAGAGAAAGAGGGAAAGACGGAGGGAAGAAGAGAAGGAAAGAAAGAAAGAAAGAAAGAAAGAAAGAAAGAAAGAAAGAAAGAAAGAAAGAAAGAAAGGTAGAGAAGGAAGGAGACAAGGAAATAAAAAAGTGAAAGAGGGAAGGAAGGAGAGAAGGAACGAAAAAGAGAAAGAGGGAGGGAAGGAAGGAAGAGTCAAGAAAGGATGGAACCAAAGACCAAAGGAAGCGAGAAAAGAAATAGGTAGAAAAGGAAGAAAGAAAAAGGGAAAGAAAAAGAGGGAAGGAAGGAAAGAGGGAGGGAAAGAAGGAGAGAAAGAAAGAAGGAGAAAAAGAGGGAGGGAAGGTTGGCCACAGCAATGTGTGGCGGGTACAGCTAGTATTTAAATTAAATTGTAATTTAAGAAAAGACTTTCCAACTCTGATTAAACCATTATTCTAACCTTCGTCAATGTAAATGTGCTTACGTATCCTACCCAATAAAATAGAGTAAAATAATAAATGTAATAATAGTAATAGAGTAAATGATGGAAAGATAGTAATATTATTATTAGTAGTATAATAATAGTAGTAGAGTAAATGATGGAATAATAATAGTAATAGAGTAAATGATGGAAATATAGTAATATAATAAATGTAATAATGAAGAAAATATAGTAATATAATGTAATAATATCAGTAATGTTAGAGTAAAATAATAAATGTAATAATAATAATAATAATAATAGAGTAATAAATGTAATAAAAATGATTATAATGACAGAGTAAAATAATAAATAACTTTGATTCAAGTATAAGCTGAGGCGGGCATTTCCAGCCTAAAAAGAGCTGAAAAACTCAGCATATACTCAAGTATATATGGTCTATGGTTCAGTCTCTGACTGTAACATCTGGGACACAAATGCTCAGAACCTTTCTATTAAATCCACTAGACTTTGCCATCAAGCAAGACTGATTTAAGTCAAAGTAATCAGGATTTATGTTCTCGAGTGTGTCACGGCCACCCAGCTCCAACAGTTTCTGGATTAGATGGATTATCTAGATCTATTTCAATCTGGTCTCAGGTCTGGCTATGGGACAGGAACGGCTTTGTCAGACTACACTGGGGACAGCGGAAGCGTGTCCCTGGTCAAGGACTGAGGACAAAGCAAGAACGAAAGATCCATTCATTCATTTTTAAAGGATGCTGAGGATATGTTGAGTTATTTAAGTTGCAAGTATATTTAAATTTAAATAACTGATTGAAGTTAGAAATCAATTTAAAATTTCAAGATCAGATTTTTTTATTTTTATACACCTTGTTCTGTATATTCTAAAATCTTTGTTGTTTTTCACTGTGTCTAACCACAAAGGCAACCTACAACTTTCACTGAAAGTTTTCCAACATACATACAGTGGTTTGTGTACCGGGATTGTGGCGCAGCTGGCTGAGTGTCAGCTGCATTAAGATCACTCTGACCCAAAGGTCATGAGTTCGAAGCCAGCCCAGGTTGGAGTGGGCTTCCAACCAATTGTGTGTAGCCTGTTGTCGACCTTTGCAACCCGGAAGACAGTTGCATCTGTCAAGTAGGAAAATTAGGCACCACCTTAAAGTGTGGGGAGGCTAAATTAACTAATTTATGAGGCCATAAAGAAGACTCCAGCAAAAGCATTCCAGCGGGGAAGCATGCGAGGAATGCGGAAGTGCTTCATCAGCTTTGCAGATGGACAATGAAAGTGACAGCTCCCCTGGTGGCCAGAAAAAGTTAAATAGCCTCTGTGTATGTCTGTATATGTTTGTATGTCAAAAATTGGCATTGAATGTTTGCCATAAATGTGTACACTGTACTCCGCCCTGAGTCCCCTGCGCGATGAGAAGGGCGGAATATAAAAGCTGTAAATAAATAAAATAAATAAATTGTCCGATGTGTAATAAGGTAGTACTCTTTCTATCGGATGGTGACAAACAAGTAAACACTGTGCCTTCCTGGGAATAAGGAAAATTCCCAGCAATATGTCCTCAGAATGCACTTTATTATTGGTTCTTTTAAAACCCTCCTACCAGATATATCCTACCTTGTTCATGCCCAGCATTTATTTTTTTAAATTTAAACTATTACATTTGGCCCGGCCATAGGTTTTTAAATCCTTGTGTGTTGTTGTTTATTGTTTATATGTGATTTATATTAACTGTATTGTATTGTATTGTATTTGCTTACTGCTTTCTTGTTTTTATTGATGTGTTGTTGGGCTCGGCCTCATGTAAGACACTCCGAGTCCCTTGGGGAGATGGTGGCGGGGTATAAATACAAGCATTATTATTATTATTATTATTATTATTATTATTATTATTATTATAAAAATTACCAAAAATTACCAAAAATCCTAATCCTAAATCAGACTTAGTAGAACGTCATGTACACAGAAGGAGGAGGGGGCCATGTACGTGAGCACAGAACAGTAAAAATTGTGGATTACCTTAGAAAAAACAAAGCCAATGTTTGTATTTAGCATGGAAAGCCTCATCATATTAGACAACTTTTAAGCACCCGCTATCAGTGTATTGATTCTGAGCCACGCAATTCTAAATTCTCCTCGCAGTAGACTGACTACTTCTCTCCCCCATCTGGGAACTTACTCCATTGCTGGTTGATGCCCAGGAAATCCTGCTTGCTCCACTTCTCCTCCACACTAGAGAAGAACGCCTGATATGACCCACACTTCCTTCTCTGAACTTTACCTGCAGTGCTTGCTCCTGGATGTCTCTGAACAACTCCATTTCCTTTTCAGCCATGACGTCTGGGCCTCCGAGGAGCCATTCCTCGTTCTCTTGCTTTCCATCCCAGCCATCCTGATTGTCTGAAAATAAAAACGGAAGGACAGTTGGGATCTTTTCATGACTCTCAGCATGCAACCTATCGGGTGGTTTCAGATAATGGCCTCCTATAAAGAGAGGCAAAGTGAAGTACAACTGCGATATTAAATGAGGGTGTACTAATTCTCCACCACCTAAAACTATACATTTTGTATGACACCCTGATCTGTTGTGGTGGAAATGTTTTCAACATGTTAATACAACAGGACAAATTGACGTCGAAATGGAAGCTTAATGTCTGCGGTTTGCAATTAGCAATAATCACCTCTCAATTTTGGTAAAAGGGGCAGATGCTTGGACTGTGAAAACATCCCAAACGGAGAAGCATACGTCTATATAAATAAAAATGTAATGTTCGTTTGTGGGATTAACATAACTCAAAAACCACTGGACGAATTGCCGCCAAATTTGGCCACAAGACACCTACTAACCCAAGGAGTAACATCACTCAAAAAAATTGATTTTGTCATTTGGGAGTTGTAGTTACAGGGATTTATAGTTCACCTACAATCAAAGAGCATTCTGAACCCCACGGACAAGAGAATTGGGGCAAACCTCCCACACAGAACCCCTTTGACCAACAGAAAATACTTAAGGCCATCCAGTCCAACTCGCTTCACCAGGGCAAAAAACGTAATCAAAGCCCTCCTGACAAAGAGCCATCCAGCCACAGACATAGATAGAAATATATGATTCACACACAGAGAGATATAGTATCATAGATTTGAAAGGGACCCCTAAAGAAGGACAATTATATGTTGCATGTTCCAGAGTAGGCAAACCAGACACTCTTCACATCAACACTGACAAAGAAACAGCAAGAAATACTGTTTACCCACAAGCATGAAGACATTGCATATATTAGAAACCAACACTTTCTCATGACTTTACTTTCCAGATCACCAGACTAGGTCACAGCAACGCATGGCAGGGGGCAGCTAGTTTTCAAATAAAACCTTTCCAAGACCCTTCAGTCAAAGTACACTGCACCATACTACCTCAGGGCAGCGAACTTGCACCATCAATGTCTCATATTTACACAAAAGGCCAGCCACTGCCAGAAGGGACAGAGTTTCATCTACACTGACGATCGTGCCATCACCGCTCAAGCAGGGAGCTTTGAAATGGTGGAACAGAAGCTCTCTGAAGCTTTAGGTGCTTTTGCTGCCTATTACACGGAACACCAGCTGATTCCTGATCCATCTGAAATGCAGACGTGTGCTTTTCATCTTAAGAACAGACAAGCATATCGAGGTCTGAGGATGACCTGGGAAGGAATCCCACTGGAGCATTTGCTCACATCCAAATACCTGGGAGTTACCCTGGAACATGTTCTGACTTATAAGAAGCATTGCTTGAACATCAAGCAAAAAGTGGGTGCCAGAAATAATATCATACAAAAGCTGACTGGCATAACCTGGGGATCACAACCAGACACAGTGAAGGCATCTGCTTTTGTGCTTTGCTACCCTGCTGCTGTGCTTTTGTGCTTTGCTACCCTACGCATGCCCAGTGTGGAACACATCTCACCACGTTAAAACAGTGGATGTGGCTCTTAATGAGACCTTATCACAGGATGTCTACGACGTACACCACTGGAGAAATTATGCAGTTTAGTCGGTATTGCGCCACCTGACATCCATTGGGAAGTTGCAGCCAATAAGGTTTGGATATCAGCCAACATGCCAACGCCTTAAATCAAGAAAACAGCTTCCTAAGATCAACAGAAATACAGGAACATCTGAGCAAGTGAGAATCCAAAAGTGGCAGGCTCAAACCAAAACGTGGCTGAGGCCAGATGAGAAGCTCCCCCCTGGGCACACAGAAGACTGGGCAACTTGGAAGGAGATGATGTGGTGCCAGAGCTTGTGGCTCTGGCACCACAAGATGCAGAGCCACCTCAAGAAATGGGGCTACATGAAGTTCAAATTAAAACCGGAATATTTCCTTTTAGGAATATACTTTGAAATTGATTTAAACAAAGACAAACTTTTCAATTACCTAGTGACGGCAGCCAGAATAAACTACGCAAAAATTTGGAGAACGAAAGAGACTCCATCCCAAGATCAATGGCTAAAGCAAATTTTGGATATTATGAATATGGACAAATTGACTCAACGGATGAGCGTAAAGCAGAACTTAAAAATATCCAAAATGGATTGGACACCAATAAAAATCTTTATAATTCAAGAAAACCTGAAATGGTTAATAGATATAAGATAAATATAAACAACAAAAGCTCTTAAGAGAGAATATGGAAAGAAACTGACCGAATAATCATGAGAGATCAGATGATTAAATTAAAAAAGGTCCTATCCGAGGTGAAGAAGATTGGAAGTCAAACCAACGACCTAACCCAAATTCTAACCACAACCCCAACACTTTTTTTCACATTTTTCTCTCCCCCATTTTTTTTTTGGATCCCGAATCTATGCTTTCCTACTTTCCTATACCAATCATATGTTCCCCCACTTTTATTGTTATCTGAAAACCTTAATAACATATATTAAAAAAAGAAATGGGGCTACAACGTGGAGTCCACAACATGCGAGTGCGGAGAAGAGCAAACCACTGACCACCCACTACAATGCGGTCTGAGCCCTGCCACAGGCACAATGAGGGACCTTCTCACAGCGACACCAGAGGCACTCCAAGTGGGTGGCTTTTGGTCAAAGAACATTTAGCCAAGTTTTAAACTTTGTTTCTGTTTTAAATACATTTTAACTGCAGAATAATGAGTTGGCTGGATTCGGTCTGCCTTTGCAATTTCTGGGTGTTCTGGGTCCGGGAGCAGGGCAAGTGCTCAAGCGGCACATTTGGGATGTCTATGCACAGCTGGACCTAGAGAGCATAGGTAGGTCTTCAGCCACAAGGCTTTTAGCAAGGAATACTCATTTAGAGCACTAAGTATTCCACTTCCACTACCCTTAAGAAGAATATATATACACCGCAATGAGTCGCCCTTGGGCTGAGAACTGCGGTATATAAGCGCAGTAAATAAATAAATAAATAAATATATACTAGGGCTAGGTTGAACAACTCGGTATTATGATGCAAACCGGGCGCTACTGTAACATCCCAAGAAGGGAGAGATTCTGCATCTGGGGAGAACAAACAGTGGAAGACATTGAACATTTCTTAATTGACTGTCCAGCATACACTGAACTGCGAGACAGATATTTACATCCAATATTATCCAACTGCAGGTCCCCCAACAGAAATGATATTCCGACATCCCTCTTGCAAGGTCAGGAAAGATCCAACATAATCAGAGTAAGCCTTTTTATTCTGAAAGGTATTTAAAAAAGAGCAGATTTCCTGAAAGAAGAACCAGGAAAATAAGATTCTGACTATAAATAGAAGGTCAGCTGCTGTCCTCACTTTTTTGCCTTGTTTTTTACTCGTGTTCTATTTTGAAATGGTCATATGACTGGTCAAATAAATATATATTATTACTATTATTATTATTACATTTTAACTGTACCCTCAAGGCCTTAATTTAGGAATGCAATGGCTCAGCCATATTTAACATTGTTTCTCAAGAAACTATCAGCCAAAGCAATCAGTTTGAGACGTAAGCCAAGCTATCATTGTGATGATGCTCTAACAGACAAACCAACTGATTACGGCAAAGTTCTCCTCAGAAAAAGAGCGAGGAGGATTCTTCTTTTGGGGAGTGAATTTCAGAGAGTGCTAAATTCAACGCGCTCCAGCATTCAGCTACCTGTGGGCCAGTCCGAAGTGCTTGATTTCCTATTGTCCTTTCTTCTGATCCTATATTGCTGAGAGTAGTCCACCACTTCTCCTCGAGCTTTACGCCCATCAGGGGACGGGGTGAAGAATTTGGTGAGGCCGTCAATTAGCCCTTTGGTTTTCTTGTTGAACTTCAAGGTGGTGCTGGCATCGCGGCAGAACTCCAGGCCGTCAACATGCTCCAGGTAACTCCCTTCCGAAGAGCAAACCGACTGGCTGGACAAGGGAGTTTTCCGCTTACGACCTCGGCCCGGTCCCGTCTGGACTTTGCTGAAGGGACCCTTTGATCTGAAGGGACAAGGAAACAAAAGAAGTCAGGAAAACGGCAAAAGACGTTACACGGAACATTAATGAACCATGTGCAAATGGTCTGTTGCGTGAGTAAGTGATGCATTTTAAGGTAACTACAGGATAACCTTGTGTGGGTTTATTTGGAAATATGTCCAATTGCCTTCAATGAGTTTACTCTCATGTTAACGGTGCACAGAATGACAACTCTGAAGTAATCTCTCATTTAGAATAAAAAATCAATTTAAGATTATTATGGGTGTTATAGAACCTTTTTATCAAGACATTTTACCACAAGAAAACTGGGAAAACTTACTGACTCAAGTATAAGACAAGGGTGGGAAATATAGCAACTACTGGTCAATCTATATAAATAAAAATGTAATGTTTGTTTGTAATGTTTGTTTTGTTCCTGCAATTTAGATACACGCACAAAAAGCCAGGAAATTGGGTGGGTTTGAAAGAGAGCCATACAAACAACGAGGACCTTTCCTCCTTTGGACTGGAAAAGAAAAAACACACTGTCAAGGGAGGGGAAGAGGAGAGAGAAATAGATCCTATATTGCAAGCAATGGCCTCCAGGCTCCACTGCCAGCTTTGCCCCATTATAAGCAGAGGGATACTTTTTCAGTTAAAAAAAGGGGGCCTGAAAACCCGGCTTATCTTCGAGTATATACGGTATAGGGTTTAAGAACACAAACCATTAAATTTGGACAAAAATTTCCCAAAATATGTAATGAGTCATTTTGGTAGTAACAACATTTGTAACAAGAGAATTGTACTGGTTATTGCTCCAACGCTGTACCTCTCCAGAAACATTAGAGTGACTTACGTTGCATTTTGGTTCTTTAATCGGTTTTTGGGTCGTCCTATTGGGTTGGCATATCGCCGCTTAATCTGTGCTGCTTTCTTATATAGAAGTTTTCTTCCTTTTCTACGGGGCCGACATATCTGACATATCCACATGCCTGTAAGGGAAATAAAGCCAGCACACAGTTAGGACACAATTTAACCCTGGGCTCACACCCTGAGCCACTTCCACGTCAATACAGCACACTTAATTATACTGGCGTGCAAGTATAAAAGACGTGAAATGCTCCAAAAGTCTTCACTTGGGCTATGCTACCATCCAATTCCACTTTTGTAAGTTGAAAGCGGTAACAAAATGCTACTGTTAAAGAAAGTTTTCCCTTCTGTCAATCATGCCCTGGGTACCTTTTGGCATCCTGGTCAAAGGAGGGTCACAACACTCCATGTGGAAGCCCCGGTCGCATGAGTCACAAAACAGCATATTGTCCTGTAACAGACAGAGGTTCAGAGTTAATACCTTTCCAATACAAACTTCAACTGGTAAAACAACAACACTTTTGATTGTTCTTAAATGTAGCTCATTACAATTCCAGTCTAATCTATATAAATAAAAATGTAATGTTCGTTTGTGGGATTAACAGAACTCAAAAACCAGTGGACGAATTGACACCAAATTTGGACACAAGACACCTAACAACCCAATGTATGTCCTTCACTCAAAAAGAATTGATTTTGTCATTTGAGAGTTGTAGTTGCTGGGATTTATAGTTCACCTACAATCAAAGAGCATTCTGAACCCCACCAACAATGGAATTAAACCAAACTTGGCACACAGTTCTCCCATGACCAACAGAAAATACTAGAAGAGTTTGGTGGGCAGTGTCCTTTGCATTTGGAGTTGTAGTTCACCTACATCCAGAGATCACTGTGGACTCAAACAATGATGGATCTGGACCAAACTCTACATGAATACTCAATATGCCCAAATGTGAACACTGGTAGAGTTTGGGGAAAATAGAATCTTGACATTCGGGCATTGTAGCTGCTGGGATTTATAGTTCACCTACAATCACAGAGCATTCTGAATCCCACCAACGATAGAATTGAGCCAAACCCCCCACACAGAACCCCCATGTGGGCCACAGCAACGCGTGGCAGGGGACGGCTAGTGAGAAATATATATATCCCCCAAATAGGAAAAAATACCCACACCACTAAGGACATAATGAGAATAGGCTCACAGAGGGATGAATTTTAGTTCACATATAAGCCTGGGAAATAAAACATATGGCACTTGAACAGAAATCTAAAACTTGGACCAATCCCAATGGGCTTTCCCCCTTTTCCTGCATTTTGATAATAGGGACTGCCTCCTTTTCTGACTCAGAGATTGTAGAAGCATCTGCAATATCAAAACTATCAAAATGATGAGCTCGGTCTTCTTTGGGTCTTGAAAATGTCTTTTTTAGATCATTTTTTAACAAATACAGTTCAGTTTCACTATGCTTTCTGACTGACTGCTCCATTAATATTATTAGTATTACTGTCATTATCATTTATCGTATTATTAGTTCCTGCTATGGATGTATTTTGGAGGCTCTGGTGGCAAAGCAGGTTAAATGCTGAGCTGATGAATCTGCTGACCGAAAGGTCGGTGGTTCAAATCCGGGGAGCGAGGTGAGCTTCCGCTGTTAGCCCCAGCTTGTGCCAACCTGCAATTCTGAGTAGATCAATAGGTACTGCATCTGTGGGAAGGAAATGGTGCTCCATGCAGTGATGCCAGCCACATGACCTTGGAGGTGTCTACGAACAACGCCGGCTCTTAGAAATGGAGATGAGCACCAACCCCAGAGTTGGACACGACTGGACTTAATGTCAGGGGAAAACCTATGCCTTTACTTTACTGCGGATGTGTTTTATTGAAGGATGGAAATACATTCTCCCTCTTCTAGCTAAATTTGATTTATTCACTCAAAGGTTGAGGACACAAGAGCTAATGAGTCAAGAACATTTGTTCATTCTGCTTATAAAAATGTACACACAGTTTACTTCATTCTTCTACTATGCAGTTTTACCAAGAAACTAGCGGCCGGGGGGGGGGGGGGGGGGGGTATTAACCGTTTTTGGAACACAAAGATTTTAGGACAGTGTGTGAAAGGCAGAGGGTATAAAAGGAACTCTCAAGAGAGAAGGTACCTCTCAGTGTAACGGCCGCAAAGGAGCTGCTTGTGTATTTCAACTCGGCTAACCTCAGATGGTGGCAATCAGAAGAGATAGGGTTGCAAAGTAGCCCTTCAGGTGACGATCTGAAGAGATTCCCTGGTGTGTTTATACTGGAGAAGATCATCCATGAGCTCTGAGTGCTGACCACAGCACTCTAAGTTGGATCCAGAAGGAAGTAAGGCAACATAACCGAAGGAACATGCACTCCCTTATAACAGACTAGCTGCCCCTGCCATGCGTTGCTGTGGCCCAATCTGTGTATGTGTTTTGTGTGTGCATATGTGTGTCTATATATTTGCGTATATGTGTATATGTGCATATGTGTGTGTGTGTGTGGTTTTATGCATGCGTTGTAATGTATTTATTGTTTTTTGGCTTTTTAAGTCTCTTCTGCTGTGTTTTTCACTCATTGGCCTGAGAGGTGTCTTGTGTCCAATTTTGGTGTCAATTCGTCCAGTGGTTTTTGAGTTATGTTAATCCCACAAACAAACAAACAAACATTACATTTTTATTTATATAGATACTTGTCAGAACCCTGAACATCATACTTCACGCCACTGAAGCTAAAAAAAAAAAGCAATTCCATAGAAAGGTCTAACCAGGATGTTACCAAAGTAATCCCTTCCTGGATTCTTCTGCTGAGCACCATCCACACAATCATAGAATCCTAGAGTTGGAAGAGACCTCATGGGCCATCCAGTCCAACCCCATTCAGCCAAGAAGCAGGAAAATTGCATTCAAAGCACCCCTGACAGATGGCCATCCAGCCTCTGCTTCAAGACCTCCAAAGAAGAAGCCTCCACCACACTCCAGGGCAGAGAGTTCCACTGCTGAACACCTCTCATAGTCAGGAAGTTCTTCTTAACGTTCAGGTGGAATCTCCTTTCCTGTAGTTTGAAGCCATTCTTCCCCGTCCCAGTCTCCAGGGCAGCAGAAAACAACTTCCCCTCACATATTTATACATGGTCCTTATCATGTCTCCCCTCAGCCTTCTCTTCTGCAGGCTAAACATGATCAGTTCTTTAAGCCGCTCCTCATAGGGCTTGTTCTCCAGACCCTTGATCCTTTGAGTTGCCTTCTTTCCCTGGACACAGTATTCCAGCTTAGAGTCAACACCTCCCTTCAATTACGGTGCACAGAATTGGACACAATGTGATTCCAGGTAATGTGGTCTGACAAAGGCAGAGTAGAGCATGGGGAGCATGATTTCCCTGGATCTAGGCACCAGACTCCAATTGATGCAGGCCAAAATCCCATTGGCTTTTTTTTTTTTGCCACTGTATGACAATCCCCCCCCCCCCCCTTTCTGTTATTCCTAGCTTGGTCTCCATGAGTTTAGTATTATGCAACTGGTTAGAAAATGGGACTATCGACCATCCATCAGTGAAAGGATTACCAACCCAAGTAGTACTTACAGCATTTTTGCCCTGGTCTCGACAGGAACTGCACGTTTTGCACTCAATGCACTGCCATCGTAAGGCCTTCACCCGAACCGTCAACTCTGGGGAAAACTTCAAGCAGGATGGATGACCTGTACCAAGGTGTTGAGAACAATTTCAGCGTAACGAAGTAGGAGCAGCCCGTGCGCAGGGAGAGCACAAGGTACAGATTCAAATGCAGTTAACAGCTGATATCTCTCAAAGGCTTGAGTTCTATCAGAGGAGTTCGACATGTGCTCAGCACTCAAAGATTAACTCACACAATGTCTCTTTGGAAGGAAACTGGTTCCTTGCCCAAGCACACCATTTTCAGAGTTATGAGAATCTTTCAACCCTGGAGGAACTGTATGAATGATACAAACATAAACTCTATCCACTTCATGTTCTTTAGTTTCACATTCTGCAAAAAAAGGTAGAGCAAATCAAAATGCTTTGGCTCTAATTAAGTTTCATTAAATACATGAATGCTACCAGAATTCCCAACTCTATTCCCATGGTAGTTAAAAGAAATTAAGGTATCCCTACACTGTTATGATTGAGATATTTATCTTCCCCCTGCTTTTACTGGCCTTTGAGACACACAAGACACAGAAAGATAAATATCTTTTTTCTGTGAAAACATTGCTTATAGTGTGGATACCCTACAAAATTCTAGAGAGGTTGTCATGTTTGTTGTCCATGCTAATATGAGCTGAACACCTAGAATCCTAGAGTTGGACGAGACCTCGTGGGACATCCAGTCCAACCCCATTCTGCCAAGAAGCAGGGCAATCACATTCAAAGCACCCCAGACAGATGGTCATCCAGCCTCTGTTTAAAAGCTTCCAAAGGAGGAGCCTCCACCGCACTCTGGGGCAGAGAGAGAGTTCCACTGCTGAACTTCCTAATGTCCTTCCTAATGTTCAGGTGGAATCTCCTTTTTCATGTAGTTTGAAGCCATTGTTCTGCATCCTAGTCTCCAGAGCAGCAGAAAACAAGCCTGCTCCCTCCTCCCTATGCTATATTCCCCTCACATATTTATACATGGCCCTCATCATGTCTCCACTCAGCCTTCTTTTCTGCAGGCTAAATATGCCAAGCTCTTTAAACCACTCCTCACAGGGCTTGTTCTTCAGAGCCTTGATTATCTGAGTCGCTCTCCTCAGGACACATTCCAGCTTAGAGTCAACCTCTCCCTTCAATTAGACACAGTATTCCAGGTGTGGTCTGACCAAGGCAGAATAGTGCATGGGGAGCATGACTTCCCTGGATCTAGGCACACATTTATTTCATGTATTATTTGAAACATTTAGCGTATATACTCAAGTATAAGCCGACCCGAATATAAGCCAAGGCACCTAATTTTATCACAAAAAAATGGGAAAACGTATTGACTTGAGTATAAGCTGAGGGTGGAAAATGCAGGCTCTATGGGTAAATTTCAAATTGCAGGAGATGAAATGTTTTTGAATATTTACATAAGACTGTAATTTAAGATAAGACTGCCCAACTCTGATTAAATCATTATTCTAACCTTCTTTAATGTAAACATACTTACGTATCCTTCCAACAATAATAAAGAGAGTAAAATAACAAATATAATAATAATAGAGTAAAATAATAGAAATGCAAAATAGAGTAAATAATAAATGCAATAATAATAAAGTAAATTAATAAATGTAATGATAATAATAAATAGAGTAAAATAATAAATGTAATAATAATAGGTAAAGGTAATAATAATAATAATAATAATAATAATAATAATAAATAGTGTAAAATAAATGTAATAAAAATAATGCTAATAACAGAGAAAAATAATAAATAACCTTGACTCCAGTATAAGCCGAAGGGAGCTTTTTCAGACTAAAAAAGTGGCTGAAAAACTAGGCTTATACTTGAGTATATGCAGTATATTCTGCCCTTCTCACACCGAAGGGGACTCAGGGCAGAGCACAGCATACATATGGCAAGTATTCCATGCCGGAACATAAAATAAGTATAAATATAGACAAGCACTAAAAACAGTTACATCTACTTAAAATCAGTTGTTTTTTATGCAGGCCAAAATCCCATTGGCTTTTTTAGCTGCTGCATCTCATTCCTGGCTCACATTCCCCTTCCACCCCACAAGGACTCCAAGATCTTTTTCACACGTCCTGCTGTTGAGCCAGGCATCCTCGTCCCCCATTCTGTCTCTTTGCGTTTCCTTTGTTCTGCCTAAGTGGAGTCTCTTGCATTTGTCCCTGTTGAACTTCATTTTGTTAATTTTGGCCAATCATCTCTTCAATCTGTGAAGATGGTTTTGAATTCTGCTCCTGTGTTTTGGAGTATTGGCTCCCCCTCCCAATTGGGCCCCGTCTGCAAACTGGATGATCCTGCCATCTCACCCTTCATCTAAGTCAGTGGTTCTCAACCTGGAGTCCCCAAGATGTTTTTGGCCTACAACTCCCAGAAATCCCACCCAGTTTACCAGCTGTTAGGATTTCTGGGAGTTGAAGGCCAAAAACATCTGGGGACTCCAGGTTGAGAACCACTGATCTAAGCCATTAAGCAAGTTCCTGAACCAAGACCGGGCCCAGGATGGAATCCTGCTGATGGCACTCCACTCCTCACCTCTTTCCAGGAAGAACTCTGGAAGGACTGTGCAATATATTATTACATACTTTTGCATGAGTTAAAAAGCCCACTTTCTGAGGTGCATTTGGAAGCTTAATTCATTGACCTTGAAGGTACCAGGTTCCCCACTGCTTTTGCTACTAACATTTATGAAAACAAAAACCATTATGCGAAAGCACGAGAGCCGTTTAGATTGTCATACTTCAACCTAAACAGCTGGTGATACAGTATCAGGCATTATTTCTTCTGGCCATTAAACAATGTGAATCCAGCAGTACTGTGGCGAAGCACAAGCCCTGAAATAGCAACACCACGCACCATGGTGGTTCCAGCAATAGATAACTTAAGGTACAGAACTCCATGTTTTTTGCAAGATTTTTTCAGTCTCCATCAACTTTAAGACTTGGCAGTTCACCAAGCAGTATATGGAAAATCTTAAATTAACCCTCTTCCCCCAATTAGCAGAGACTGTAATATGGCAAAAAAAAAAAAAAACCTATGGAGATCAGGGCAACAGGGGAATTAAACTTCAAAAATGTGAATTTGTGTACAGTTAAGGAAGTACACAAAGGCCCATCCTGGGTGACTCCAAACCAATGGGACCAGCTGTTGTCACCACCACAGTACAGCACATCGCTTGAAATACAGGCAGTCACCTACCACTATTGCCGCAGTCAGCACATGAGATGAGCTCCTCGGCCTTCTTTTCTCGGTTTTGTTCTTTTGTACCAAGGCAGAAACTGCAGATTGGGATTGGTTCAGCAACTGGCTGCAAGGGGGAAGAAAGGAAAAGAACACACATTGTCATTGTTTTTAGCATGTTTTGCAAAATGTAACACTTATATAAACAGAATAAAAAGGTGTCACAATGAATGCGAAAGGAGAGTTGAGAAGGAACCTTTGAATTTATATTCAGAGGAGCATTTCTCAACTTGGGGGTCAGGACCCCTGGGGTGGGTTGCGAGTCAGGTGTCAGAGGGGTCACCAAAGACCATCAGAAAACACTGATTCAGAGTATCTTATAATGAAGATTCATATGACAAGCAAGCGCAAACCTCACTCTAGAGCAGCGCTTCTCAACCTGGGGGTCGGGACCCCTGGAGGGGTCGCCAGGGGGTATAAAAGGGGTTGCCAAAGACCATCAGAAAATACAATATTTTCTGTTGGTCATGGGGGCTCTGTGTGGGAAGTTTTGCCCAATTCTATTGTAGGTGCAGTTCAGAATGCTCTTTGATTGGAGGTGAACTATAAATCCCAGCAACTACAACTCCCGAATGTCAAGCTCTAATTTCTCCAAACTCCACCAGTATTCACATTTGGGCAAATGGAGTATTCGTGCCAAGTTTAGTCCAGATCCACCATGGCATGAGTCTCTCTGGATATAGGTGAACTACAACTCCCAAACTCAAGGTCAATGCCCATCAAACCCTTCCAGTGTTTTCCATTGGTCATGAGAGCCAAGTTTGGTTCAAATCCATCACTGGTGGAGTTCAGAATGCTCTTTGATTATAAGTGAACTATAAATCCCAGCAACTACAACTCCCAAATTACAAAATCAATCCTCCCCCAACCCCACTAGCATTCACATTTGGGTGTATTGGGTATTTGTGCCCAGTTTGGTCCAGTGAATGAAAATGCATCCTGAATATCAGATATTACATGATGATTTATAACAGTAGTAAAATGACTATTATGAAGTAGCAATGAAAATAATATTATGGTTGGGGGTCACCACAACATGAGGGACTATATTAAGGGGTCACGGCATTAGGAAGGTTGAGAACCACTGCTCTAGAGCAGGCATGGGCAAACGCGGACCTCCAGGTGTTTTGGACTTCAACTCTCACAATTCCTAACAGTCTACTGGCTCTTAGGAATTGTGGGAGTTGAAGTCCAAAACACCTGGAGGGCCGATGTTTGCCCATGCTTGCTCTAGAGCTGGGGTCCTCAAACTTTTTAAACAGAGGGCCAGGTCACAGTCCCTCAAACTGTTGGAGGGCTGGATTATAATTTGAAAAACACATGAATGAATCCCTATGCGCACTGCACATGTCTTACTTGTAGTGCAAAAGGCACCTAAAAACAATACAATAATTAAAATGAAGAACAATTCTAACAAATATAAACTTATTAGTATTTCGATGGGAAGTGTGGGCCTGCTTTTGGCTGATGCGATAGGATTGTGGTTGTTGTTGCGTGCTTTCAAGTCGTTTCAGACTTAGGTTGACCCTGAGCGAGGGCCATATTTGGCCCCTGGGCCATAGTTTGAGGACCCCTGCTCTAGAGTCTGGTTGTGGTAAGAACTGAGCCCCATGAGGGAAAAAATGGTGTGGTTCCAGAGTGCAAAGTGCAGTGATGCCCTGATACAGCAAGCTTTGCTACCTAGAGAAGATTTTAGCCAAGATGTCTACCTGATAAGTGGCAAGTGCCAACTAGCAACAGGGAGGGGAGGGAGCCCGTCCCTGCTCTGCCATGCAGGCTTCCTGGGTGGGGCCTGAGGAAAGTTATTCCCACAGTTCACTAGTGAACATGTCTTCCACTGCCATTGATCTACCTATGCATAATGCAGGCATTGAGTATCCGTGGTGAACCAAAGGTCTTAAGCAACATGACTGGCTCAATGTTCAAGATACACACAGCACACAAATAAATATGCTGATTATTGATCACATTTGCATCCCCTTTTCTCCTGAAAGATCTCCAGATAAAACATGCAAGCTGAATTTTTTTTAATAACAGCCCAGCATTGTAAGCTGACTTGTGGGAGTGTCCCATTTCATCTGGCTTTGAAGTAAAAATCTGTCTGAAATGGGAGACACTAGTCAAGGAACCAGGACTGTCCTGATTTTGCAAACCGAGGCAGAGAAGTTGATGGCAGAGAGACATGGAAGTCTCTCATTTATAGGGCTGCCATAAATTGAGTTGACAAGCAGTGAACAATGAGGAAGAATTAACCGATCTGTTTCTGGAGTAGTTACCTAAAAGGTATGTATGAAGACTGAAATGGAAAGTTCTAACTCTCAGAAGACTGAATTCACAACATAGTAGAGCAGTGGGTCTCAACCTGGAGTCCCCGGATGTTTTTGGCCTTCAACTCCCAGAAATCCTAACAGCTGGTAAACTGGGTGGGATTTTGGGAGTTGTAGGCCAAAACCATCTGGGGACCCCAGGTTGAGAACCACTGCAGTAGAGGATGGTTTCCATTGTATATGTTTTCCTCTGTAGAATGAGGTAAACAACAGGTCTGGGATCTCTTTCGGCTCATTTAAAATTCCTAAATCACCAAGAACAAAATGACTAAGATTATGTTGAATTTCAAATCCCAACAGCCCAGCCAGTATAGCTAATCTTCAATTACAATGGGTGTTGTAGTCCAAGTAATGTTGGAGGTTCACACTTATCCACCCTGATACAGTGAGGTATAAAATGAGATAGCTTTCCCATGACCAATTTTTTCAGGAGCGTGCAAAACAATCTAGAGCAGTGGTTCTCAACTTGTGGGTCCCCAACACCCAGAAATCCCCGCTAGTTTACCAGCTGTTAGGATTTCTGGGAGTTGAAGGTCAAAACATCTGGGGAACCACACATTGAAGACCACTGATCTAGGGTGAAGAACTCTAAAAGGCACTTTCTAGACCAGTGTTTCTCAACCTTCCTTATGCCGTGACCCCTTAATACAGTTCCTCGTGTTGTGGTGACCCCCAACCATAACATTATTTTCGTTGCTACTTCACAACTGTAATTTTGCTACTGTTATGAATTCCCATGTAGATATCTGATAAGCAGGATGTGCTTTTATTCACTGGACCAAATTGGGCACAATACGCCCAAATATGAATACTGGTGGGGTTGAGGGGGGGATTGATTTTGTCATTTGGGAGTTGTAGTTGCTGCTGGGATTTATAGTTCACCTACAAAGAGCATTCTGAGCTCCACCAATGATAGAATTAAACCAAACTTTGCACACAGAACTCCACGACCAACAGAAAATACTGAAAGGGTTTGGTGGACATTGGCCTTTAGTTTTGGAGTTGCAGTTCATCTACATCCAGAGAGCACTGTGAACTCAAAGAATGATGGATCTGGGCCAAACATAGCATGGATACTCAATATGCTCAAATGTGAATACTGATGAAGTTTTGGGAAAATAGAGTGTGACATTTGGGAGTTGTAGTTGATGTATAGTTGACCTACAATCAAATAGCAGTTCGAACTCCACCAACTATGGAATTGGACCAAACTTCCCATGCAGAACCCCCATGCCACGAAGGAACTCGCTGGCGTGTGCCTCCTTCCAGCCTTGCACATTCTCCCTCACCTGCACATGCGCACTGCACTGCCATGCGCCAAGCATGCCTGCTTTCCCCTCCCTGCGTGGGGTCTCAGAAACAGCCCTCTCCTTGGCTGACAGGCTGGCCAATCACAGTGGAGGAGGGCTTTTGGTGGGAGGACTCGCTGTCTATTTCCAAAAAGGAAGGGAAGGACAGGAGGAGAGATCTTCATCCTTCTCTGCCAAAGGGCTTCCTAAGACCATCGGAAAGATGTGTTTTCCGATGGTCTTTGGTGACCCCTCTGAAACCCCCTCACAACCCGCCCAGGGACCCTCAGGTTGAGAAACGATGATCTAGAGTGAAGAACTCCACAACACACTCTCTAGACACGGGAATAGGACAAAAGACATTTGATATATGTGTTAAATGATGCAAATGGAAAGAATAATCCTAAATCACACAAACGTTGTTGAGAACTGAACTGATTTTGCCTAAGCAGGAGAGAAATTTGGTGAGAACAATGCAGAAATCAGCTTTTTGTGCTAGGGCCCTGAAAAGGGCAGTTGGAGGGAGAGGGTTGGACTTGTTTCCAAGGTGATCAACAGCCACCGCGTTTTTATTCCAAAATTCTCAAAAGTGGGGCTCTCAATATGTTTCCGTCTCCATCCCCTAATCACTGCCCAAGATGGCTGTGACTGTTGAGAGCCACAGTGCCAAATGTGTGTAAAGGGAAGCCTTAGCTAATCCCTCGCTTGTCTGTGTAATTCTCCCTCCTCCATACAAACTGCGTAATATAACTTTCTCATGGCTGATAAGAACAAGAGACAATTTACTTGTCTTGTGCCGCAGCTGCCCGTGTCCCCTTACCTGGCTCTTTTCACGCCTGCGGCGCAATTGGCCCATTAAAACAAACAACCAGACAATTCTGAGAGAGCAGCCGAGAAAGGAACGGAAGGGTAAGAAAAACATTTTTCACAGCTTGAGGTTTTCCTCTAGCTATCATCCCTAAGGGAGTCACTGAACAATAAACTAACAGCTTTACAAGTCCAATCAATGCCAGTATACTTAGAAGGAGAGCATATTGAATGCTACCACGATGTGATAAAGATACATGTAATTACACCAAATAGGTGTGGGAGCCTGGGCAGAGTAATCTTTTGAATCAAACATTACAGTTCACGGGGAGGATTTCCTTGCTGGTGTGTGTGTATCTGCTCAGTGGAAAAATCTGAGGAAAAAGAAGAAAAATTAAATGCATACGACTGAAGACGGGGGAAAACAAAGGTAAGGAGGGGGAAGGGCAGCTCCACTTCCAACAGCCGAGTTTTGGCAGACACTCAACTCTCGCTGCTGTTTTCCTTGCAAGCACATCCATCTATGTAATGTCACCAGAGCTGGAGGGAAAAAGGGAGGGGAGGACAAGGGGAGGGAAAGGGAAGAGTCAAGAGAGAAAGAGTGACTGTGTTTTAAAAGCTGCCAGTTTCTCAGCACATGCTGT